AACTCGGCCCCCCCCTCCGGGTGGTGCCCAGGAGTGTCAGGGCAACCGCGGGTTCGGTGCGGGGCGGGCCGACATCGGTGGGGAGGGGGCGGCGCGCCCCGTCACAGTCATCCTATAAGTAGTATTTCATATGTGCATGTCATTGCTTATTTAAATAACCAAGTAGTATCTGTGTGCCTTTTTTTGGCTTCAGAAGGTTTAAGAACAGTCTAAATTCTTGCCTCTTAAATATAAGACCTCAGCATGACAGTGGTTTCTTAACATATGTTTGAAAATAGAAATCACATAATTTTTCCTGTACCTTTCAGAAAAAATGTACCCAGTTTAAGAATAAGTGCTGAAATATTCTGTTCTCTTCGGATTATAATGAGACGTACTGAAATGGTTGATCACAGCTTGGCAAGTTGTGAAGGAGCTGTACAATCATCTTGATAAATTATAAATTTACTGTGTAATGTGTATATATGTTGTCAAAAGGGATTTCTTGCCAAAGTTCATCTACTTGTATCCTTCCTTTTAGAATTGTCTCAATAGGATAAGACAAAAATATCTTTAAAGAAAATATAAAGGAAGAATTAAATGTAAATGCCTGAACTTGACAAGATAGGGAAATGCTAATTACTTTATGGTGTATCTTTTGGCTTCCCAGAACTATGAGAAAATGATTATTAAAACCTAGCATTAAATATGTTGTACTCATGTAATGAGATCTTTTACAGTTCATTGGATTATTTTATTCTGCACTGCCTAGCTTCCAGACAAATTTAACTCAACTTCAATGATATTTTAAGGTGTAGTTTAATCACCAACTAATTTAAGGATACTAACTATAAACCTGAGAAGTACGTATGCGCAGAACTAAAGAGAAAACTTCTGGTGAGTCTCGGGCCCAAAATATTTGTTTCATCTCTTTTAATACTTTCAAGGAAGGTCAAGTACTCAGCAATGGCCTTTGCCACATCTTTCATAGAATCATAGACTCATAGAGCTGGAAGAGACCTCAGGAGCTCATCAAATCCAGCCCCCTGCCCAAGGCAGAACCAATCCCAACTAAATCAACCCAGCCAGGGCTCTGTCAAGCCGAGACTTAAAAACCTCTAGGCAGGGCTGGCTTTAGGAAGTGTGGGGCCCAATTCGCGGAGGCAGCGCCGCGCATGCACCGAGTGCCGGGGAGGCACTGCGCATGTACCGCACACCCGGGAGCGGGGCCCTCTTAGGCACGGGGCCCAATTCGGAGGAAAAAGCCTAAAGCCAGCCCTGCTCTAGCGATGGAGATTCCACTATCTCCCTAGTAATCCATTCCAGTGCTTCACCACTCTCCTAGTGAAACAGAAAGAAACGAAGGAAGTGAGATTCATAGGTGAAAGAGGTTTGCCCCTTTCTCTCAAGTGTCACTTAAAAGGATGTTCGGGCATTGTTTCTGCAAACCTAGGAAAAGGCACTTAGGTACTGAGAAGCAGACATGAAACCCAATGGTTGATGAGAACAAGTTGTGGATCTGTTCCAAACAGAGCATCGCTGTCCAGCCCACAGTTTAGCCAGCCTGCAAAATGCACCCAACTTTGACTCCAAGGGCACACTGTTGACTCATATCCAGCTTCTCATCCACTGTAATCCCCAAGTCCTTTTCTGCAGAACTGCTACTTAGCCATTCGGTCCCCAGCTTGTAACAATGCTTGGGAGTCTTCCATCCCAAGTGCAGGACTCTACACTTATCCTTGTTGAATCTCATCAGATTTCTTTCGGCCCAATTCTCTAATCTGTCCAGGTCTCTCTGGACCCTATCCCTGCCCTCCAGTGTATCTACCTCTCCCCCAGCTTAATGTCATCTGTGAACTTGCTGAGGGTGCAATCCATCCCCTCATCCACGTCATTAATAAAGATATTGAACAAAACCGGTCCTAGAACCGAACCTTGGGGCACTCCGCTAGAAACTGATCGACATCAAGCCCTTGATTACTACCCGCTGGGCCCAACAGTCTATCCAGCTTTCTATCCATCTTACAGTCCATTTATCCAATCCACGTTCCCTTAACTTGCTGGCAAGAATATTGTGGGAGACCGTATCAAAAGCTTTGCTAACGTCAAGGTATATCACATCCACAGATTTTCCCATATCCACAGAGCCAGTTACCTCATCATAGAAGCTAACCAGATTGGTCAGGCATGACTTGACCTTCATGAATCCATGTTGACTATTCCTGATCACTTTGCCCTCTTCTAAGTGCTTCAAAATGGATTTCTTGAGGATCCCCTCCATGATTTTTCCAAGGACTGAGGTAAGGCTGACTGGTCTGTAGTTCCCTAGATTATCCTTCTTCCCTTTTTTAAAGATGGGCACTACATTTGCCTTTTTCCAATCATCCGGGATCTCTCCCGATATCCACGAGTTTTCAAAGGTAATAGCCAAAGGCTCCGCAATGATGTTTGCCAACTCTCTCAGTCCCTCGGATGCATTACATCTGGGCCCATGGATTTGTATGTGTTTAGCTTTTCTAAATAGTTCCTAAGTTGTTCTTTCCCCACCATGGTCTGTCCACCTCCTTCCCATACTGCATTGCCTAGGAGCTGACCTTGTCTTTCCTTTCCAGCTGTGTTGGTATGAAAGGCGCAAAAATCACAGTCCTAAAGAGGAGAAGGATTTGCTGTTTGGCTGGTGTTCATAAGTTTCCAGCACTAGAAAAGAGAAAGCTATCCTCTCCATAGAACAGAGTATCAGAGCAACCTTCCCCTCCACTGAACACCACAGTATCTCATTCTTCGTTTGATGGAACCCCCTGTAGTTGTGAGAGGATAAATTATAAGAGCGATAAGAATACCTGTTAGTTTACTATTGACAGTGATTTTAGTGATGTGGATACACAGTCATCAAATTTATCTCAAAGTCTGGTACAACCATGACACCTTGTCATGATCTGTATCTTTTCGGCATTGATTGGGCATTCTGTAGTATTCTTTTGTGCTTTTTGTTGTATAGTGTTCTTGGCTGCTATTAATCAGCTACTACTACCATCCTTCCCAGAGCTGAGTGCATTTCAGCAGTGCGAAAAGTGATTGCCTTGTGTGATTTGAAGGTTCTTTAAGGTCGTGTAAGATACTACTTATTTATTGTGAGATATGTTATATTTTAAATTGTGTGTGTGTGTGTGTGTGTGTGTGTGTGTGTGTGTGTACACATTAGCAAATTTAGCTGTTGTTCTGACTGGTCAAGCATTGATAATAGTAACTGAATTACTGACTCTAAGTGTTACACTATAAACTTGGTGCTATTGTTTATTTATTATTTGTATTAATTTAGCCCCAAGGAACCTCAGCCATGAGCCATTTTATTAGGCATTTTACAAACACAAAACAAAAAAGATAGTCCAGGAACTAAATATATATGTAATGTAGGCCACTGCCTTTTGGAAAGAACCTGCAAAAAGTGTGTGATTTAGAAATCCACCTTAATTGAATATGGTTCTGGGTCACCCTCTGGTGGCTAGAGTACATACAAAGTTTTATGATTGCTGTTGCAGTCATGCTGATACACCCAGTACCATAATTCAGGTAGTAGAGACTCATGCTTTTACTTCCCAAGGCCCCAGATTCACTATCTGCATATTAGTAATAGCAGAGGTTAAACAATGTTATAATCTAAGCCATGTTTGATGGCCTTTCTAGGTGCTTAGTTTAGTGGATCCTAGTTCCACCCTTCTGGATATGTTCACAAAGCAAAGAAAACCTGTGGCTGGCTTGTGCCAGCTGACATGCAGTTGTGGCTCTCAGGCTGCAGGACTATGCATTGCTGTGTAGGTTTCTGGGTTTGAGCTGGGACTTCACTGGGTCCCGAGCCCAGGATCCAGCCTGAGTCCAATAGGCTACATGGCAAGGGAGCAGCTTTGCAAGTCCAACTCAGCTGGCATGGGCCAGACATAGGTGGTTCTTTGGTGTGTAGGCATATCATATGTCACAAACTCACCACTTTCCACAGGATTTTAAGTTCTTTGGGTTAGAGACTGTCTCTTACTCAGTATGTAGTGCCTACTGGGGATGTAAAATCCCTGTTAATCAGTTTACTTAGTTAACTGATTTGGGCCCCCCGCCCCCCCCCCCCCCCCAAGTGCTCAGGGCTGCCAGCCCCACCCCCCATGCACTTGGGGCTGCTGGCCACCAGCTTCCTCCCCTTTCCCCCCCATGAAGGAGAGGCAGATCCCAATCCCCTCTCCCACAAAGGGGGGCCAGGTCTCAACCACCATGGACTTCTCCTGGGTACTGCTTAAGCTATACCCAGTAAGCATCATCCGGAAAGGTAAGGAAGATGGTTACTGGGTAATCGATTACCTTGTTCGCATCCCTTCCTAGCACCATGGAATCCTGATCTCATTTGCATTCTCACCAGGAGCAAAAGTCATATTACTCGAAATAAATTTGTGGAAGTTAGCAACAATAGTAGTCATTTCATATTGGAAGTTGGCAGGATAAGCTCAAAAATAAGTCAAACCAAAAAGCATTGTTTAATATTTAATATTAAAATATCATGATGTTTAGGAGCCTGACTCATGCTTTTGGCATTCTAGGGGAAGTGCTAAGTGTGGATGTTATCCTAACTAATTTCCCTTTTTTTTTATGATTGCATTATGAAGAAATGTATCGAAGTAACTCTAATGATTATATTTAAAAAGATTTTGAGGAGAGGATAGAGAGTAGGGGAATGTAGATAGTGCAACCTCTTCTGTATATCTTTAAAAGCTAACCACACATTTGCTTCTTTTCCCAATAGTCAGCAGCAGAATATGTGAAGTCCCGCCTGCCTGAAGTCCTGAAACAACATCTTCAAGACTATGAGAAAGACAAAGAGAATAGTGTGTTGTCTTACCAAACCATCCTGGAACAGCAAATTCTGTCAATTGACCGAGAAATGCTGGAAAAATTGACTGTATCCTATGATGAAGCAGGTATATTTATTCTTCTTTCTATTTTGCAACTAATGGAAAAAATGGGTCAACTTTCCTCCAATCTTTAATTGTTTTTAAGTTAAGAATGTGAATGGTTAAGCAATAACCCTTGCAAGTTACCTTGGTGGGCTGGAGCAGCTCCTTACCCACCACAGGCAGGAGGCTGCTCCAGTCCTGCAGGGCCCCCGCAAGCCTCCCAAAGCAGCCGCAGTCTGCAGCAGGCCCAGCCTGGCCTGGCATTCCACAGGCAAGGGCTCTCCAGTCTTGCTGGAGTGGGGGAAGCTCCAGCCCCCTGACTGCCCCCATTTAATTGGTTAACCAGTTAAACATAATGTTTATCCAGTTAACTAATTAAATAGGATTTTACATCCCTACTTTAAGTTGGTAGTGGGTGTGTTCGAAAATTTAAACTTCGGCTTCAAAGATATGAAGTGATTCCTAACATATTTCTTCTTCTAAAATCAAGAAAATACCCCAATCCAAAGGTCGGATACCAAGTGGCCAGGAGAACAGCTGTTTTGCTAATGATGGTTTTGTCCTTTATAATGTATTGATGTTGATTTATTTACTCTTAACTTTTACAGTGTCTCCAAAATTTGCTTCCTTGTAGCAAAGTTCAGATCAGTCTGTCTCTACTGCCTTCTGCACTAGTAATGCAAATGTTCCTAAACTTTAAGCCCAAAATCTGACATTGATACTACATTTTGCTTATTATTATATTATATTTATTTTACATTACCAGAGATGTGTTAAGTGTTTTCCAGAATAAAGTAGAAAGGCATGAACTCCGTCCTGAGGACTGCACAGTCTAAATTGTATGTTACTTGACAAGGGAGGATAGCAGAGAGGTAATGGGATGTCAGAAGACATAAGTTTATAGTGATGCAATTGTGTGGTTCTTCACTTGTGACATTTGCACATCTTGATTGTTTGTTGTTTAATGTTTGTTATTATTTACTAGGTTTTTGTCTTAATCCAATTGGTGAGGCACTCCGTTTTCTAAGATCCAGACTTCTAATACGTTCCCGTCTTGGGAAACTGTGTACAGCATTCACATGCTGATACACAGAAGCTGACATTCAAAAATAGTCATGAGTGTGCACCATGAATCTAGTCCAGTCATCCTTCTCTACCCTCCGATAGACTTAACTCTGCCCCAGGGAGACTTAGCCTCTGGAACCCTTGACAAGAGACTTCTACTCCCTGGAAATCTAACCTAACTGACCTTTGGAACTCTAATGCTATTGGGGGGGGGGGGTTCTACCCTCTTGAATCCTAACTCTAGCTAGGGTCCCTATTTTATGGAATTCTAATGCTGGTGTGGGACCCTTGAGAACTCTTACCCTACTATGGGAACCTGAAACTCTGGTAACCTAATCCTGATCCAAAGAGTCTTAATCTTTGGAATCCTAACCTAACCCTGTGGAGCCCTACATTCAGGAACCCTCGCCCTTGCTCTGTGAGCCCTACCCTCTGGAACTATAATCTTAATCCAGGAATTTGAGGATAGGTCCTGAGGATATTATCCAGTCCTCTGATCTTCCAATTTTTCTTACCAAACTGTATACCTTCTTTTTTGTAAGCTATCCAAAACAATCTTATTTAACTCTTAATTAAACTCTGTTTCAGCAGTCATTAACTGATATTATTAGTCTGCCATCATTAATGATGCTACTGCACAAGCAAGGAATCAAATATCATGGGCTCTTATTTGTTTTAGTATTAAAATAGTGGAAGGTGTGTATGTATCAACATACAAATATTTTAAAAGACCCTGATCCTACAGTTGAATCTGTAAGGTTGGGCCTTTTCATCTGTACAGAGTTCTGTTGATATCATTTGGATTTTGCTTAGGATCTGCCCATAATGATACAGTTGCAGAATTAGGAACTTTGTATGCACTTTTGTGTATAATACAATTTTGTGTTGCAGATTTTGTATGGGTTGATTTCATTCAACATGTTGTTTCCACGTGTGTGTTTGTTAAAAATATACCATATGTTTCTACAGGCCCAAATATAATTAGATGGCATCATTAGTAAATAATATGTCATTTAAAATAAAATATTCTCAATAACTATTTACAACTTACATAATACTAATCAAGCATGTTTATGCAGACCAATTTAAATTCTAAACAGAATGCTTTTACACATGCTAATAAATGCAGTCTGTTAAACAATGAAGAATAGCAGACTTCCTGGTATATTTTCCTCGATCTCCATTTCAGTGAGGAAAGAAATAAGTTGCAGACTCTTTCACACAGGTCTATGTACAATAATTTTTAATACTTGTTTGATTTTTTATAAAAGCATAGATACAAAAGATTCACACAAAAATATCCTTGCTTGCAGCAACTTGCCATCCTATATGAACAAAGCTATTTAACATATATTCTATATTGTTACGTTTGTGGCATAACAATAATGTTTAGGCTCTTCAGTGTTTTAGTTTAGATGGGCATGCTTGGGAAATTAATTAGGATTATTTTTTATTTCCGTGGCTTTTTGAATTTTTGGCTCTTGTTGCTATGTAGAATGTCTAATTAGTATATGAATGACTATAAATAAAATGTGGGTGTCTTAGATCAGGCTGCCATAGGAATTTGGAGATATTCATATGTTCAGTGTTTATCAATAGTGGGTTTTAGGATTCTGTTATCTATATGTTCTTGATTTCAAGTTACCCTTCTTATGGTGACTCCAATCCCTTTGTTCTCCTCTACTGGATGGCATTATATATCTATTTCAACTTAACTAATATCATACATAGGCTATGTCTAGACTGCAAGCCTCTTTCGAAAGAGGCTCTTTCGAAAGATACTTTCGAAAGAACCTCTTTTGAAAGAGAGCGTCTAGACTGCACGTTGAACTTTCGAAAATGCGGCTTGCTTTTTCGAAAGAAAACATCCAGTGAGTCTGGATGCTCTCTTTTGAAGAAGCCCTATTTACATTGAAGAACGCCTTCTTTCGAAAAAGGAACTTTCGAAAGAAGGCGTTCTTCCTCGTGAAATGAGGTTTACCACCATCGAAAGAAAAGCCGCGTTCTTTCGATTTAATTTCGAAAGAACGCGGCTTGAGTCTGGACGCAGGGGAAGTTTTTTCGGAAAAAGGCTACTTTTCCCGAAAAACCCCCTGAGTCTGGACACAGCCATAGAGTGATATGTCTACCTAAACTGATTTATTGGTCTTTCTTACATAGCTTGATAGAGCAGCCAATGAAACAGTAGAACCACAACCCTCAGCAGGGGTACCTGCCCAAAAACCTTTGCTGTAAATGTTTTGCATTCTAGAACAGGGGTGGGCAATAATTTTCAGCGGGGGCCACACCAAGAATTTGGTAAGTGGTCAAGGGCTGCACACATCCATGATATTAATGGAGGAGGTGTGGGGTCTGCAATGCATCTTAGGTGTCCAGTATTCTCTGAATTTTTTTACCAGACAGGAGGTGAAAATACCGAACTGTCCAGGTGAGTACCGGACACCTGGAAACCCTATGCACAGAGAGCACATGGCCCCTGCAGCCGAACACATTGTACAGAGGCCAGGCAGGCAGAAAGCCTGATGGAGGCTCCCGCTGGGCCGTGGGACTGTGACATGCTGGATCAGGTTCAGGCGGCTGCCGGTGTTTTAAAAACAGCCACTCTGTTGTGCCAGTGGCAGAGCCTGCATGATGGAGGGGGAGAGGGACAGAAAGTAATGGGCTGGAGGAGGCAGGGGGGGAGGGAGAAAGGGCCCAGGCTGGCAGAGAGAGCGAGGGAAGGAAGATAGGACCCTGGCTGGCACAGCCACAGCCCGACCCTCCCCTGTGGCCAGCGGGAGAGCCGGGGTTGCCTAACCCCTGCAACAAGGGCTTGGCAAGTGCAACAAGAAGGGGGCACAACCCCCTAGTTTTCCCTTACTGCAAATATGTGTTTGTGCAATGGAAACCGCATAGTGCAAATATTTGGGGGTTTAAATGCTGAAATGAAGCAATCACACGGAGTAACTATATACATAACTAAGTTAGAAAAGTCTCTTCACATATAATGCATTTTAAAAATAATACCTAGAGCAGGGGTGACCAACCTGTAGCTCGTGAGCTGCATGCGGCTCTTCGTCCTCGAAAGTGCGGCTCGCGAAGCCACCCCTGAAAATGGCCCCCGGCTCCCTGTGCTCACTGGGGCAGGGGAGCTGTTCAGTGCAGCCATTAAAAATAGTGTCTTCAAGATGGTGGTGGCCAGCGGGAGCCTGATGTGGCCAAAAAGCCTGTAAACACATTTCTTAAAGGGGCAGTCCTTGCTCAACAACTCGGAGGAGGGGGGGAGTTTGGCTCAACAGTTTTGCCCCAGCTCTTGGTGCTATACCCCCTACTATTTTGTCTCTTTGTCCAGAACGAGTTGGCCATCTCTGATCTAGAGCAGCACACTGTAAATCAGGAGCCAATACTTAGAACCATAGTCAGGAAGAAATACCTCTAATGGTTAAAACATTGAGCTGGAGATGGTTTAGCATTCTAATCAAGTCACTTGTTTACTACAAAAGAAGTAAATTATTTTACCTGTTCCTGAAGTGAGATCTGATTACAAGTACGGTGCAAAATGTGTATACTTAAATAATTGTGGCAGGTGTTCATAATTCCAAGTCCTTCAGCTGTTCAATGATACTGCAATTGTATTGTCAGCACCATCTTCTCCTATAGTGCATAAAAGAAAAAATGTGCAGTATTTTTGCCATGTCAGATGCCTTTTAATGTAATAAGAAGGTCAAACCCATTTCCAGTATATATGCAATGCAGGAATTGGGCAACAAAACACAGTAATTTAAAATAGAACAGATTGTTATAATTTCACTTGAAAGTATAGTTGTGCCCTTTTACAGATGTCAGCAAATGTATCTTGTGGCTGACTCTGCAGTTCTTAACATCAGTAATCAGAAGCAGCTGGGGCTTTAAGTCTCAGCCAGAGATATTGAAAGTTTAAAAATATGAAGTACCTGCTACACTGAAACTTCACTTTGGAA